TCCAGGAGCCAAAATATCATAATTAACAACAAAATGTAAATGTCTCTGAAAAGTTTCAGAACATGTGAGAATTCTCCCAGCAGTTTTAGAGGGAAAATTCTAGTATGGCATTGGTTACCAGAGACTGACATGTAACTTGGTGAGATATTTGGTGATTAAAAGCATCAATAGGGGGATTCCAACATGGAGGCAGATTGAGTAGAAGCTACACTGACACTCTCTCAGGACCAAACTGGTATTACAACTAAAATACAGAAAAACCATGCTGAATAATCAACTGAAAACTAGGTAGAGAGAACCTTTATAACAAAGGATGTAAAGCAGAGACAACATAGAGACTGATAAGAAGTGTGGAGACATGAGAGGGCTGGCTGGGCTCCCATGGGCAGCAGCTGAAGGTCCGGAGGGATATCTCTGCCATGGGGGGTTTCCACTGAGAAGTCTGGGGTCAAATGCCCAAGCTGGGCTTCCCAGCCCAGAGCACCAGAACTGAGAAAGGTGTCAACATAATATCTGGCTGTGGAAAGCAGAAGGGTTTCTGTCTGCCAGGGAGAGGCAGCTGGAAATGCAGGCACCCTCTTAGGGCCAAAACACAAAGTTTTGTGTGCAGCCACTCATCTTGGGCTCTGGTGGAGGGAGGACAGAGTGGACTAGAGCTGTGGGGGGAGAATCTAGGGGTGCTGGCTTGGGAGATCAGAGCTCAGAGGGCAGCTACTGGATTCTTGTGCTGAGTCATTCCCCCATACTGCAGAGGACATCTTTCTCAGGCAGACATTTACCATCCAAGCAGACTTTGCCTGGGCAGGAAGCAATTGCTCCACCCACTGAAAACCTCTCAACCCACCTACAGCCTGAGGCTCATTAAGAGACTGAAGAACAATTAGACTCTGGGTGCTTTGAGTCTTTGCCTGATTTGCTTCTGGACCCAGGGCTTGGAAAAACGGACCTTGGTGCACATCTTGGTCTTTCCCAAAGGCATCCAGCCCCATCAGAGAGAACCATAAGCTGTGAAGTGTGGAAAGCTTCAAACAGGGTACTCAAGGCCAGTCACAAACAGTGTCTAACATTGGCCTGCACCAGAGACAATCCAAAAGACTGGGAGTCCTGGCAGATCTACCTAATACATAGAAACAAATCCAAACATGCAGCCAAAATGGGGAGGCAGAAAAACAAGCTCCAAGTGAAATAACAAAAGAATTCTCCTGAAGAAGGGCTAAATGAAATGGAGATAAACAATCTATTAGATATAGAGTTCAGAATACTGATCATAAGGATGCTCAACACCATGAGAAAAGAAATGGAAACTATGAAGTAAATTAAGAATGACAGTAGAAATTAAAAAAAACCCACAACATTGGAAGGAATTAGAAGACAGGATAGAAATAATCATTCAATCAGAGAACCAAAAAGAACAAACAATTGAAAAACAGGAGGATAGTTTAAAGGAGCTGTGGGACAACATGAAATGTAATAATATTCATGTCATAAGAGTGCCAGAAGGTGTAAGCAAGGGTTAGAGAACCTGTTTGAAGAAAGAATGGCAGAAAACTTCCCTAACCTTGTCAAGGAAAAAGTCACACAAGTTTAGGAGGCACAGAGAGTCCCAAGCAAGAACCCAAAGAGACTCATGCCCAGACACATCGTAATTAAAATGTCAAAAATTGAAGACAGGAATCTTGAAGGTAACAAGAGAAAAACAATCTGTTACCTACAATGGAGCTCCCATAAGGCTGTCTGCTGATTTCTCATCAGAAACTCTAACGGCCAGAAGGGAATGGCATGAAGTACTCAATGTACTGAAAAGCAAGGGTCTGAAACCAAGACTGCTCTGTCCATCAAGGCTATCATTCAAAATAGATGGTGAAATAAAGAGCTTTCCAGACAAAAAAAGGAGGGAGAGTATTACCGCCAAACCAGCATTGCAAGAACTGTTAAAGGGGCTGCTGTAATTAGAAGTTGAAAGAGAGAGAATGAGAAATATAGGCATAAAGAAATAAAATGGCAATAGATAAGTACCTATCAATAATAACCTTAAATATAAATGGATTACATGCTCCAATTAAAACACAGGTTAGCTGAATGGATAAGAAAACATGACCCAAATATGTGCTGTCTACAAAAGTGCCACATCAGAACAAAAGACTCACACAGGCTGGAAAAAAACAACAACTCCTGGAGAACTTTAAGGGACAGACTGATAGCAATACAGTCACAGTAGGGGATTTTAACACTCCACTGACTTTGCTAGATAGATCTTCCAGACAAAAAAATAACAAGGAAACAGTGACTATAAATGACACACTAGATCAGATGAATTTAATTGACATTTACAGAACACTTCACCCTAAAGCTGCAGAATATATATTCTCCTCAAGTGCACATGTGACATTCTCAAAGATAACCCACATGTTAGGACACAAAACATGCTTCTACATGTTCAAGGAGACTGAAATCATATCAAGCATCTTCTCAGGCATTTACACCATGGAATACTATGCAGCTGTAAAAAAGAAGGATCCCTCACTCTTTGAGACAGCATGGTGGGCCCTGGAGACTATTATGCTAAGTGAAATAAGCCAGTCAGAGAAAGAAAAGTGTCACATGATCTTACTCATATGTGGAATCTAATGAACAAAATAAACCAATGAACAAAATAAATCCAGAGACATAGAAGCATGGAACAGACTGATGAATCTCAGAGGGAAGGCAGGGATGTGGGGTGGGGAGGGAGAGAATAACCTAAGAACTTATATGCATATATGCATAACCCATGGACACAGACAATAGTGTGGTGAAGGGGCAGGGTGGAGGGGATCAATGGGGGAAAAAGGGGAACATTTATACTTTCAACAATAAAGATAATTTTTTTAATTTTTAATTTATTTATTTTTAAAATATATCTTTATTGATTTCAGAGAGAGGAAGGGAGAGGAAGAGACAGAGACAGAATCATCAATGATGAGAGAGTCATTGATCGAGCCCGCAACCCGGGCATGTGCCCTGACTGGGAATCGAACCCCGATCGCCTGAATCCCAGGTCGACGCTCAACGGCTGAGCCACGCCCGGCCAGGCGAAGATAAATTTTTATAAAAAGCATCAATAAAGTGTTAAAGACAGAAAGTAAAGCCTAAATTCCATCTATATACATAAATTAGAATGACTGACTAACGTATGTGTGGGGTTGGAGGATAAATCTTTGAGTCAAGTTAAAAAGCCACCTTTCTTTCTCTCTCTCTCTCTCTCTCTCTCTCCCCCCCCCCTCTCTCTCTCCTTTCTTCTTTCTTTCTTCTTTCAGAATGTCAAATAGAAGTGAACAAGCATTTTTACTTAAAAGTTTGACATAATATGGATACAGCTCGGAATTAAGATGTACAGTCTTACAAAGAAAGGGAAGCCTTAAAATACAGGTAAGAATATTTAACTCCCATATAAAATATTTATTGAATGCTCTTTATGAACACCATGCAAATTCTAGAATCCTATGGACTTCCCATTTCCTGTTAATTCTCAAAATGTTATTAAATAAGAAACAGACTCCCTCCCTGGTTTTACTGTTCTTAAATCAGTTGAAATGATGATTTTTGAGTTTAATTTATCAGTGACATTATAAGTCTGTTAAGAGGGCAATGTGGGCCTTAAGAGTTTAACACAGTAAGGATGTATGTTAAATTATTTTATTTCCAAATGTGAATATGTTGTGGGTATAAATTAATACTAATTCATGCAAACTTTAACAGGAACAAATAAAGCACACAGATATGCTACACACTCCTTGCATCCTTTGTTTTTTGCTTTCAAAAAGAACTGAACAAAAGTTGTACCCATTCACTTTTCTTACAGTTCAGTAACACTGAAATTGCTCTTTTAAAATGTTTGCGATAAGCATAAATATGAAAATGACAATTTTGACTTTAATTCACTGCCTTTTGTTGGATTAAGACCCTAAATGGAATGATACTATAACATTTTCATATTTAACAGTATGATGGGGAAAAAAATCTGCCTTGAAAAAAAAGGGCTTAAAATAAAAAACACATACCTATTCAATAACCTGATCATATAATTTTATTGTCAGGGGAAAAAATAAGAAAAATGAGAGAAAAAATGTATTTTATTGTTTTGAATACAAGAATTTTTTAAACAAAAGTCCATATAATGATTAACAAATCTTTATATTTAACAATAGTTAAGCAGCACCAACTCTAAAATTGTTATTCTCTCTGGCTATTCCTAGATATTGTGTGTGTACTGATTTAATCTAATGTGTATTGTTGCAAGTGTCCCCAGGCACAGTCAAGTAAAAGCTAAGGCTGTACAGAAGAGCCTACATTTTAAATGGGTCTTGTCATTAATGCCTTATTAATTGCCCCAGGCTACGTAAACCCAAAGCTGGGCAAGCTATAACAATATGACACATTAAGGTCAAATCCAATTCCTGCTGTGTTTTATGGAATGGGCCAAATATTGAGTTAACAGCAGGAAAGCCAATTTATGGGCTTTTATTTCCACCTCCAGATTATTCTATCTAAATTAGATAGGAATTTTTTGAAATAATGAAAGCACCGTAACTGAGTCCTGAATCATTTTCTATAATGCTCAAAATTATTTCCTTTTAGGTTAGATGTACTACATATTTTAAAAATATGATGGAACAAACCTGCACTATACAATGCCTTATATACTCACTTAAATGTAAAAATTAAAAAATTTTAAAGTATTTTTAAAGTATTATTTTATCCTTACTCGAGGATATGTTTACTGATTTAGGGGCGGGGGTGGGGAGGGAGAGATCTATGTTGAGAGAGAAACATTAACTGGTTGTCTCTTGTACACATCCCGACCAGGGATGGAACCCACAACCTAGGTATGTGCCCTGACAGGGAATTGAACCCACAACAACCTTTTGGTGTATGGGAGGACACTCCAACCAATTGAGCCACCTGGCCAGGGCTTGATATATGTATAAATTAAATTAATATCAACATATAAAAGAGCCTACCTTTACATCAGAAGTATCTCTCTGGCTAGTTCTCCAAGACCTTGCAACTGATGAGAAGGTTCGATCTGGATGGTCAAATTTTCCATCATTTGCATTGAGGAAGAAGGTTGTGAAAGGTTCCTAAGCAAAAAAAGAAAGAAAAAGAAAAAACAAAATTTGATCCTTCTGAACACAGCTTCCCCCAGTCCTTTGTAAAATGTGACTTTTTTTTCTTTGTTAATCCTCACCTGAGGATATTTTTTTCATTGATTTTCTAGAGAGAGTGGAAGGGAGGGAGAGAGGGGAACAGAGAGAGAGAAAGAGAGAAACATTGTTGTGAGAGAGACACAAATATTGGTTGCTTCCTGCACTTGCTCCGACCCTGGCCGGGGATCAAATTGCAACCCAGGTATGCGCCCTTGACTGGGAATTGAGCCTGAGACCCTTCAGTTCTCCAGCAGATGCTCCAACCACTGAACCACACTGGCCAGGGCAAAATATGACTTTCTATGAAGCCCTTTTGAGGTGGAAACAGTGCAGGATCCTGGAAAGATGCCCACACCAAGGAGTCAGCAGGGACTGGTCTGGGCCTAACTAGGTCAGTCAGTGTCACTCTGCAGCCTTGGTAGGTCATTTTGCTTCTTGGGCTTCAGCCTTCTGAGCTATACAAAGATGGAGTTATAGTGCCTTGTGATTTTATAAATGACTTTGCACTATTGTCCATTTATAATTCAGATTTTCTTTCTCATAGCTAAGGCCATACATGTTAACACTGCAATAAGAAAATCACTCTGACACTTCTTCATGGCACTATGGAATTAGGTAGGGAATGTCCATCTGGGATTACCCATCAAAGTCTACTGAAATATTTGTACCACATATGGTCTGATGGTCATTTAAAAATACAAATCCCTGCTTTTCAGAGCTCTTAGGAGAAACTACTTAATTTGTCCTCTAGTTTTCTGTGACAGTATCTGCAATGATAGTGTCTGTCACCCACAACATGTTTCCATAGCTGGAAACCAAGAAATAACTTTATCACAAGGGACTAATGCACTTAATATTAATGATTTTTCTGTAGTTACTTTGGGAGAGAAACATTATTGCTGATGTCATTAAATTTGCTTCCAAATTTAAAAGAAATAGTGTGGTAAAGGCCTAGAGGCAGGGTGGTGTGGGGTGGAGAGAGTCAGTGGGGGAAAAGGGGGACATATGTAATACTTTCAACAATAAAGATAAATTGTTGGAAAAAAGGATTAAATAACTTTCATTCTAACTAAGGATTTCTTAGTTAACTATAACAAAGATAAATCTATATTTCTTTTTTCATGGTTCAATTCTTCACTCAAGTCTAGGATGAATGCCCTGTCACTTCAGGTTCAATAATGCTAAGAAATCTTTACTAAATATTTAGGCTTTTTTCTTTAATATATAATATCTTCATTCTTCTATATCTATAAAACATTACTTTGTCCCTTTCAAGTCCCCTTTTGCCACTAGCCATAAAATCCAGCTGTCTGGCAACAGCTACAAATATTCATCTTCTTCATTATCTTCCTATAATTTAGTGTGGTTAGATGTTATCAATTTTATGTTTGTAATGTATCACCAATATTTCATGTTCACTGTTGAATGACAGAAAAGTATCATGAAAGAGAAAAGTTGAAGAATGATAGATATAACAATGTATAGGTAAGGGGGCTATTATTGATCCCTCCGAAAATCAGATACGCATCCAGGAAGTCCATATTGCTGTTTAAGATTTTAAGTGACATCAGAGACAAATAGATATCACCGAAATTAAGTTAGGAAAAAAATTATGAGATGTCTTTCACTAATTAATTTACTTTGTAGAGTTTAACTCATTATTAAATATAAGGTAGTTAATGCAGTATATCTTATCAATAAATTAAATTAAAGTGAGGATATAAAAATTCTAGAAGTAACAATGGTAAATCCAATGAAATGTGACAGATCTAAGTTTGAATTTTGGTGGAACCATTTACCTCTCTTAGGCAAAGTAATTAGCCTTGAGTAGTTGTATTAAGCATCTTGGTTCCTTCATTTGTGTTAATTTGGAATGACAATACCTTGGGGGTAATTATGGGAATTAAATAAGATTAAACAATATTGAGAAAGTTTGAAGTATCTTACCTGACAAAGAGTTATAAAATGACTAGCAGCTTTATGCACTGTGTCAAGAATTCACTGCTGGGATCAGCCCAAGACTGCCAGTTCACTAGACAACACTTCCAGGCTCAGGTCTCACTCATCTTTGAATCTTTAGTTCCCAGCATAGCACTTGGCTAATAGTTAGTGTTTAATAAATGTTTGTTGAACATAATTAAACATACAAAATAGTGTTGGAAGATGGGGTATGGCTGGGTAAGAATAAGATATAGTTTTCCTTTTTAGTTTTTGAGCACTAGTTTGACCATAAGCTTGTATGTTCAGAATCCACTTCTTTATTCTAGGATGCTGATTTTTGTTTTTAGTTTTTCCTCTTTAGATAGTAGACAGAGATTAGTCTAGAGGGGTCACACTTATCTCAGTGATTTTTAACCTATTAAATAGCTGTGAGTAAAGACTCATTTATACATGTAAAGCCTTACTTCTTACCATTAACCATTAAAAGCTGATCTTTACCCCAACCTAAATGATCTCTCCTGGTTTTCAACCCTTAACAAAGACCTGCCAAGAATAGCAAAGATGGGCATAAAGAAAATAAATCAGAAATTAAATAATTATTTTTATTTTTGATCTTCTAGTGGCACCTAAAGCAAAGAATACTAAAGAGTTCCATGTTTCATTGTTTTAAGTAGCTTTTAAAAAGATTTGATTAACTGTTTCAGGGTCACAGACCACATTACTGACATATAATTCCCATTATTACTGAAGGCCTCCAGCTGCTACACTGGTAGAGTACTAATAGAAATTGATAACCTATTTGTTTATAAGTGAGTATTGATTTTTCAAGCTCTGGTTACCATGGAGATTACCTTTTTCCATGTGTCTCCCTATTACTTTCCTGGCACAATGCAAGGCCTTTCTTTTTCATTTGCTCATGCTTGACTAACATAGAGGACCAAATGCTATACTAAGCTTTTCTCTTCTTCACCTAACACATGCTGATGGAACTATTTTTTACACGCATATCACCATATCGGGTATTTTGTTATTACACTAAAAAAGCTTTTGGCTTGGGAAATAAAATGTACAAGTGAATAAATATTAAACAGAAATTTCAGAAAATAAAATTCTGGCACTTGTTGGCTTTAAAAACTTTAGGCTAGGCCCTGTAACATGGCAGACTTCCTTCCCCTAAGTGCATCTACCCGGAGGTCATTTCATATCTTCCAAATCTTTTTCAGTGGTAGAAAAATGAAATTAACCTGTCTTGCACTGGTAAGTACCTGTCCTACTGAATTCTATCATAACCTTTAGTCCCCTGCAAAGACACTAACTACCTTTCCTGCCTTTCAATGGTTACAGACCAATTAATTCCATCCTGAGCATCTTATTCTGTCCCCTGCTCCTCTTCCCGTTAGCCAACTTGTTTATCTTCTGGCTTATATGATTTTTGCTCAGTCATCTCATAAGAATCTTTTCTTAAGTCCCTCTCTTCTCGTACTTTTCTTCTTTACCTTCTCTTCATTTTATTTGAAACAAAACCCATCTATGGGTAATAGGTAGTATTTGGAATATATCAAAGAAAAGATGTATATTTTGAATTCATGTGAAGCATAACGAATACTAAAAGGAAGGGAACTATGAGTTACTGAACACCTTTCTGTGCTTGGCACTATATTATCTCAGTTAACTCAATCCTCACTATTATCCTTAAGAGTAGATACAATTACTCCTGTTTTATGTCTGAGAAAGTTCAAGATCACATTCTAGGTAATGGAGGAATCATTGTTTTCACTGTCCTTTGTTTAACTTCAGGGTTTATTTTATCCCATTGCTTTTGAAAGAATCCAGAAGTATCTTAGAATCTCTAAGTCTCTATTAATTAACCTATGTAACTACTATACGCCATGCTCTTGATTAAGAATTTCTCATGTTACTCTAATATGGATTGTCCTTAAGAATCAGTATGCAAGATAAACATGAATACAATATTTAATTCAGTAGCGTTATCCTTTGTTTTTAATTACAACACTTGCAACAGTGTTTCTATGATTTTCTTCACTACAAATATGTATTTTTAAAAAAATTATGGCTTATGCCCAGCCGGTGTTGCTCAGTGGTTGAGTGTTAACCCATGCACCAAGAAATCACAGGTCAGAGCACATGCCCAAGTTGAGGGCTTGATCCCCAGAGGGGGCGTGCAGGAGGCAGCTGATAGATGTTTCTCTCTCGTGGATCTTTCTCTCTCCCTCTTCCTTCCTGTCTCTTTAAAATCAATGAAAACATACTTTTTTGAAAAAGAAAAAATATATTATGGCTTAAACAGACTCTTGGGTAAGCTTTCAAAACAACTCATAATTTATAAAGTCCCAAATTTTAAACAACTGAATTATAAATTAACTCTCATTGCAAAATCTATGTAATTTCCTAAAAATTATGATTAAATGTTTGACAAATGAGTTTTGAATAGGTAGGTTGAATACATTGCATTCAGAAACTGCATTGGTTATTAAGGGATAGAAAGGTCAGCGAGTAAAATTTAATTACTTCTCTGTATATGTTATATGTTCAGGGTAAGATATAAAGTAAAAACATTCTAACTAAAATGTGTCCTTTTATACTACTCAATATCTGAAGAAACTCCAAACCCTGCTAAAATAGTTTATTCATCATTTGCCCAATGGCAGCTAGCAAGGAGTCTTTTCAGAGTCACGGATTTTGACAAGTGACTTCACTGGTAGTTTGTCCATAATATTTTTTTCTTGTCCATAATATTTTTAATTTAAAGCAATGAGGTATGAAGTTAATCAGGATTTTAAAGTAATTATTATCATTGCCATACTAAATATACTGACTGACACTAATAATGAATTTAATGACTTTAGGTCTAAAATGCTTGAAAAGTAAAGGGCAGATACTTTAACGTGTATTTTGTTTTTTATGAACAAATTTTTAGTGACATGGATTTTAGTGCATTTTCTACTTCATAAACTCCTATTGGGATGGGAGTGAGGAAATCACAATGAGGTATGAAGTTCCCTGGGCCATTAGTTTAAACACTTAGTAAGCTATTAGAACCATGATACTTCTACAGTATTTGTAATAGCACAACACAGGATGTGTTGGCTAAATGAGTCCCCATAAAAGAAGTCCTATAGATCTGTTCTGTCCACTACAGTAGCCACTAGCCACTTGTAACTACTGAGTGCTTGAAATACAGCTATTTAGAACTGAATGTGCTATAAAAATAAAATAAATTCTGGATTTCAAAGATTTAACTAAAAAAGTAAAATATCTCAATAATAATTTTATTGGTTAAATATTGAAATGATAACATTTTGGATATATTGGGCTAACAAATATATTTATTAAAATTAATTTCACCTGTTTCTTTTTACTCTTAAATGTGGCTACTAGAAATTTTAAACCATAAGTGTTTGCACTATATTTCTGTCCTTAGCACAACTATGGGTAGTACTAAAAGGGCATGTGTAGAATATATATGTGTATAGCATTTCTGCCATACCCTTGCATAAACTCAAATTTGTATTACATTAGATTAAATTATGATTTATTATTTGAAAAAGTGTTTAGTTTATCAGAATAGAAGAGTATAAACTGAAATCGAGCTGTTGATAGTAAGTACTTTTATGGATTCACACTTAAGTAAGTCTTATAAATCTGACTTCAGACTAATTTGATTACACAAAACCACTGAATTTCGCTTTACATATTTCAAAATGACACATATTTTATATGATAGTATGTATCACATATATAATATATATGTATCATATATACAATATGTGCATGTATGTCATATGTATGATATATACAATATAAGTATCATATATATGTTCTTGTTTATTTCTCAGAATACCACCCCCTTGATAATGTATTTTTTACAAATGGTTCCTGACTTTTTTTTTTTAATCCTCCAAATACCTAAGAGAGGTGTCTTACTCCCTCCATGTCGATGGCTCAGTATAGCAATGATTGTCCTTGATGGGACAGGAGGTGATATAAAAACGCCTCTCAAGTTGAGTATCTCTGGTTTACACACTTTCTAAAAGTTCCATCCTCTACAGTTTTGGAAGTCCCTCTGCGATAAAGTCAAATAGACTGCTGCTTAAGAATCATATCTCATGGGCTCCTTAAGCCCAGGTATGTTTTTTCTTGGCTTCCAGAGTGAATCCTAAGCAGAAAACAGAACTTTAACTTTACTGACACTTTTTCTCTAGTTTTTTTTTTTTTTTTTAACTTCCTTTGTTGATATTTTGTTATAACGTACAACATACCCACCCCATAAGTCATCTCCCACTGATGGCAGTGATGATTGAATTTGGTTTTATGGTCTGACGATTTGGTAGTCAGAGAATCTATTTTATTAGTCTTTTTGTTTTCTTGTTTGCCTATTTGTGAGCCTAAATTAAGTAAGAATATATTTTATGTCCAGTATAAAGGACACAAGCTCTTGGAGATCTTGACTGTTAAATTTTTGTGCTTCTGTGTTTAATTTTCTCTTTATATATGTGTCTGTAATTCAGGAAAGCCTTTGCCTCTTCTGTGAGTATGAAGTATTTTCCTATGTCTGGAGAGTATTAAATTATTATAATCCATAAACTAAAGGTATTCTGTTTTGATTAATGGTTTATAGTGGTAAAAAAGCACTTACATAAATCTAATATTCCCCCCAAATGAACAGAAAATAAACAGAATTTCTTATACTTTAGAAGTGCTAGAGTTAAAAAAATATTTCTTAAGAAACTGCTAGCTCTGAAACATTTTTGTAAAAAAACACCAGGTTCACATAATTAAGCTGAATTTTTTAACAAATTAGATAACCACCTTTGATCTATAAAAGAAAGTCTTGTATTTTCCTTTAGTTTATAACTACAGAGTTTATTTTAAAAAAAATAAGATTTGAGTTTGTTTTCCTATGAACTAGTTAATCTAAACTTCTTAAACTTCTTATGCTGGTTTAGAATTATGAAAAATATAAAATTCACATTCAATTAAATGGATTCATAATTCTGACAAACCTTTTTTTATTGTTTGCAGTATATCACTGATCAGTGACTTACAAGTTACTAAAAACATAGTCATAGTATGTATTTGTAGTAAGTTCAATTTCTCCTCAATATGTAGAGAATGCTTGAGGAAGACCTCCAAACAAAAGCTGTCATTTAGGCTGAGGGGAAAAAAAATATTTGAAAATAGAAGATGCATTGCCATGTATGCACATTTTCATGTATGGTACTTTAGCATGTGTTTCTAAAGCAAATCGGCCTCATGCAACAAAGTGGTCTGAAGTATATTTTGGTAAGGAGAGAAAACATATTGATTCTATTGATTTAGAGATTTGATTTAGCATTCTAGGATACTCCTTGGTTGCTTATGGTAAAAAAATAAAAATAAAAAATAAGATCATCTGATTTCAGTAACTGCTCTTGACTAGATTGAAGAAGGCAATATAAAAGGCAAAGAGATTGGTTAAGAGGTTTTGCAATAATCTAGATGAAAAATAATGAGAACCTGAACTAAGGAAATACTAGAGAAAAGAAGATATTTAGTTGGTAGAACCTACCTGATGGGATATCTAATTGGATATAAGGGGATGGTAAAACAGAAAAATATCTAAATTGGATAACTGGGTGAATGATCATGCCATTTATTTAGATAGGAAATGCAGCAGGAACCACAGTAGGTTTGTGAGGGAGATGAGGAGTCCATTTTTGGAAATGGTTTGGCTAGAAATATCCTGTAGGATATACAAATACATATATGCTAGAAATATAGGTTAGGAGCTCAAGAGAGATTTCTGCAATAAAAACAGAAGCAGGAAGTTATTAGCTTATAGTTACATGACAGAGACCAGATAAAATATATAGAAAAATCCTGAGGAACAGAAACATTGAGAAAAAGAAATCTGAGGATGAGACTGTGCAGGGCATGGTAAGAATGATAAGAGGCAACAGGAGAAAATATTGTCAGAAGAGTCATAACAGGGAAGAATTTCAAGAAGGAGAAAGTAAGCAATGGTGTCAAATGCTTCAAGATACATCAATTAGAAACAGGAAGCTCTAGTCCCATAACTTTTGACCTCCATAAGAATTTGGTGAAGTGATGGGTCTGGAAGATAAATCCAGCAGGCTCAAAACTGAAGAGGAGGGACAGAGACGAGCACAGGGCAGTGCGGTGCAGCAGAGCCCCTGCTTTCAGTGCATTCATTTGTCTAACCAGGGAAGAGAAGTGGAAAGAAAGTAACTGCTGAGTGGCAGAGGGGAGCTAGAAAGAGACAACTAATTAATTAGATCAGAGACTTGACTATGTATCTTAGAAGAAAGAGAAAGTAACACAAATAAGTCTTTAAAATATTTAGAAACTATTTTTAAAATATACTGCCCAACAAGGAAGATAGAGACAGACAGGAGAGAGTGTCAGCTTGTGGCAGTCAGTGAGAAAGGAAACAGTGGATATTAAAGAGGTATTCCAGAACTTTGGTTCCTTTTATAATTGGTTCACAATAATCTATCTTCCTAACCCAATTTTACAAATGAGACAACTCATTAAAAAAAAAAAGGACTTGGGTTTTGCTAGAGTTTGAAATTCATCATTTCATTGGTCTCTAATCTTTGTTTAAAACAAATAAGTATATTTAATTTTTAATTTATTTACTTGAAAACCTTTGAAGAATTAAAGGCAAACTGTAACGTGATGAAGATACTCACAATTCGAACAAGCCAGGATAAGGTAGAAGCTGCTGTTGAGTAATGTGTATTATAATGGTAGGGTGGGCTGTGATCATCTTCCCATGTCTCGTAACGCTCTGCATAAAACACAGCTCTCTTTGGGTTCAAAGCACCAATTGGCTATAAAAAGAGAAAAAGAAGCATTTTGTTTAATACAGTCATATTAGACATTCTATATTATAACTATCCTGAAAGTACATACTGTTAATTCATCTTAACCATAGAGCAAAAATAAATGATTCTATGTTTTTACCAAATTTAATTTTTTTAATCCTCCCTTGAAGATATTTTTTCCATTGATTTTTATAGAGTGGAAGGGAGGGAGAGAGAGAGAGAGAAAGAAATATCAATGTGAGACACATAGATTGATTGCCTCCAGCACATCCCATGACCAGGGCTGGGGACCTCACCTGCAACCCAGGTACATGCCCTTGACTGGGAATCAAACACAAGACCCTTCGGTCTGTGGGCTGAAGCTCTAATCACTGAGCAAAACCAGCCAGGGCACCAAATATAATTTTGATATTAATTACAAATCCTTATACTTGCTAAAAATAATCCAAAAGGTTATTTATGTATGCAAGGTTTCTTGATTTTACTGAGCTTCATTAAACCGGATTAGTAAAGATGATCCAGTTTAAACTGTTAAGGCAAAACCAACATTTTTTATGTTATTTTCCTGCCTACTTAACCATAACAAATTAGCTTCATTATAGGAAATCCAATGAGAAAGTGACGCAGTTGACCATGTTAGAGAAAATCTTGTCTTAGCCTGTCACCTAGAGTGTGAAAGGCAATTATTACCCATATAGAAACCCTGTTGGAATGTTAGTCTCATTCTGTTATACAGAAGAAGCATGTATCTTTTTTAAGTTACACTGCAAACCTAAGGCTGATGGAAATAATTCAGACAATTCAGATTCCCTGGAAAGCATTTTGGTAAGGCCACTATGGCCTTTCCTGTCAGTACCATGGCACTACAGATAATGACGTTAATCCCTATAATGGAGCACACAATGAAGTTCTCAGGGTACAATATAGATATTTTTCAACAAAGCATGTCTTTATTAGATCATTGTCTCAAATATCTAAGCACACCTAATCGTTAAGAATTTCTAGCATAGACTTCTCATGATTTCAAATAGCAAACTGCCTTAGCTTAAGTTTTTGTCTAATTTTGGTTTAATGGGATATGGAGTCAACTCTTATGATATCTAATTGCTACATTATTTTATTTCAGGTTGCATATTCTAAAAATAAATGTTTATAGAGAAAACAAAAGATGAATACTAAGTATAATTTATAACTCCTTTATTTCAAAATTTAATATTACTAGTTAATTATGAAGTTTCCCCAAAGGCTTAATTTTAAAAAAAGATGTAGAAAATTAGTGTCTCAATGAAACAAATAATGTTACACAAGAGAGAAATATTCACTTATAAATTGTTTGTAAGCTTTTTCTTTTGGTCCTTGGGGAATAATCCAAACAACACAATGTTGTCAGCAGTTAAAATCTCTTATAATTTCCATAATAAACCCTTAGCAAGGATTTTTATTCTGAATGTTAAAATTATCTGTAAATTATGTTCATTTTTCTTTATCTAAATTAGGACTTAACAAAGACTAAACAATTTAATAATTTACCTGTAAAAAACTTTGGTTTAAATATATTTTTAAAATGTTCTAAGGATCAAACTTCATTGTGTTAAATCCTACTAGTATCCCTCAAATCTCTTTATTCAGATGTAAAAAGGCAATGTAATTTCATTAAAAGTCACATAAAATACTAATAATATTTAAAACAAATATTGGAATAAATGTGAGTTCTGTTGTAATTTAGTAACAGAAATAGTAAGTTTTTCATTTAAAATGGTCTACATCTACTTTCCTAGGTGTGTAGATATCTGTTTTTCTACCTCAGTATTATATTTTTTTCAAAGCATTTAACATGGTTAATACTTTCTTGAATACGCTAATAGACTTTTCACAGGCATAACATGTCTGCACAGTCCTTATGGACTGACCTTATCTGATATTGCTTGTCCTGCCAGACCTCACAAGACATTCTTGAAATAAGAACATGGTCCTTTCTCTAATCTTTTCCAGCCTTCTCCTCAACTACTGGAAAAGGGATAAACTAAATATTTATACTTTTTATTTTACGGAAGTTTCATCAAAGTCTTTTATTGGAATGTTTTACACAATAATACTTTGTAGAAAACAGCTGCACAGTATTACAGTCTGTATATTCCTTCATTAGTAACTGCTTACAATACATTTTTAATTTTGAAGTTTTATCTAATGCATTTAAAAATGAATTTTATAAAACAAAATGTAAATTATTTGGTTTGTACTTATTATTTTGTTATTATTTGCTTCTAAAATTAAGAAATAATAAATCATTCCAAGGAAAAATGCTTCAAAATATCTGTTTGGGAAACGAGAATTCATCACAGATGACCTATTTTCTTATAGAATCCAAATAAATCTATCTATCTATCTGTCTATCACCTATCTGTCATCTATCAATCATCTACCTATAATTTATCATCTATCTATCATCTATCTATCATCTATATCTATCTATCTATCATCTATCTATCTATCTATCTATCTATCATCATCTATCTATCATCTATCATCTATCTATCTATCATCTATCTATCATCTATCAATCTATCTCTCTATCTATCTCTCTCTCTCTCTATCTATCTCTCTCTCTATCTATATCTATCTATCTATCATCTATCTATCTATATCTATCATCTATCTATCTATCATCTCTATCTATCTATCTATCTATCTATCTATCTATCTATCTATCTATCTATC